AGATAGGATCTCATGTAGCCCAGGACAGTGTCAGACTTACTGATGTAGGCTGGCCCTGAGCTCCAGTTTCATTTGAACTAAGTAACTTCTTTATTGTGTGTGTACGGTATATGCATGGAAGCCAGAGAAGAGGGCCACTTTCTCACTCCCTGCCTTGTTCCCTTCAAACAGGTCTCTCACCGAACCTGGAGCTAGGCTGGCAGCTGTAATTCCCAGAGACCCTCTTGTTTCTGTTCCTCACAGTGCTGGAGTTACAGGTGCATTTGTGTCCATGTGTGACATTTACATGGTGCTGGGGTACAAACTCAGGTCTTCATTATTATGTAGCAAACATTCTTACCTGATTTGCCATCTCCCCAGTTATCACACCTGGTTTAATTACTGAAATTCTATAGCCAGGATATGAAGATGGCTAAATTTTTGTCTAGCTGACAATAGAAGCAGTGTGAAATCAGTATGTGAGGTCTGAGTGGATAAATATTTATATATGACTATTTGCGGAAGTACATTCTTTAATGACATTGCTCAGTTGGAAAACCTCCAAAGGCTCAGTGCAGCATCAACAGTAGAAATAAAAGCTACTCATATGATAGCTGCTATATTTAAAGCATGAAGAAATGTAGTCTGTGTTTGCAAAGATGTTTATGTTCAAGAAGACACAGCATATTAAGCAATTCTTGGAAAAACAACATGAGAAGCCAGATTCTACGTGCAATAATACAGCTTTCAGAAATGCTAAAAATGATTTTTAGAGAAGCACTGGGTAGCGAGACAAAATGACAGTGACTGCTTAGAAACTGAAGGTTTGTCAGACCAAGCTCTGAAGAGGCAGGGCACTGCAGAGTCTAGCAAGTGCACCCCTCTTTCCTGACTCTCCTCTGCTTAAAATAACAATGTTCCATGCCTGCTGCTGAGGCTGAAGAGAGGCCAATAGCTTCATCCCTTTCCTCTCCTTTCTCTCCTATTTTCTTTTTTAAGGACACTGACTTACTACTATGTTGTCCAGGTCAGGATTAAATTTGTGATACCCCTGCCTTAGCCTTTTAGGTGCTGCAACTGTCTGTAGTTGCTACCACACTTAGCATCAACATTTTTTTTTTCTGCTAGTAATGTTTTGTTTTTAACTGCATCTCAGATATACATAACATTTTAAAGCTGCTAAATGCTCTAAATATGATTATTATGGGCACGGGCTAAGTTAGTTCCTTCCTTCCTTCCTTCCTTCCTTCCTTCCTTCCTTCCTTCCTTCCTTCCTTCCTTCCTTCCTTCCTCTCTCTCTTTCTCTCTCTCTTTCTCTCTCTCTTTCTCTCTCTCTCTCTTTCTTTCTTTCTTTCTTTCTTTCTTTCTTTCTTTCTTTCTTTTCTTTCTTTCTTAATAATGGAGATTAATCCAACAAATACAACTTTACCACTGAGCCCCACCTGTCCCTGCCTCATCTGTTTTAATACTGGGTTAGTGTTTCACTAAATTGTCTACGCTGGTCTTGAAATCCCCTGTAGCCAAGGCAGTGCTGATACTTGAGGCCCTCCTGAGAAGCTATGATTACAGGTAGGTATCACTTGTACACTATCAGTGGCTTACATTTCTACTGAATACATCAAGCAAGATAATTTGAGAATATACAAATAATGCATATACACTTTCTGTTCTCAAGCTGTGTTCAGAAGCACTGTACAGTAAAGACTAATATGAGGTATAAGAGACTGTCATGAGGGAAGTTTTAAATAAATGCCTTAAAATCTGTTCTGGTTAATCCAGAGAAGGTGCAGCCTATGAGGACCACCTCCTGAGGAAAGTTGGGCTGTCTTTTTCTCTCGGCACAGATCCAGAGAAAGAGGATTCAGAGGGACCACTTGGAGGACTCATGATCGGAAGTCACTATGCACTGAATCTGACATCTAAAAGTGACAGGTATTGGCATTAGCTGAGACACTATCACCAAGAACTACTTTAAAAACTTCCCGAGCCACTGACACCCTTCCCAGGATTGCCTAGGAGGGTAAGAATGTAGTTGCATTCTTTTAAGACTGGCGTTGGCTATATACATAACGTGAAGTGGATTTTTCACTGTCTCAGAAGGCTGGAGCAGAAAAGTTTAAATTTGCACTCTCTAACAGGGTACTGAATTAGTCCTGTTGTATCTATTTAAAAACAAAGAGGCAAAAACAAAATACCAAAACAAATAAAAAGCACACTTTATCATTTCTTAAGCATGTTATATACTTAACAAAGTCACCTAAGTTTATAAAACACACAGCAAGTAAAATTATATAATTACAACACTCTAGTCTGTTGCTCCTTAAATGTGCTTTTTCTTACTTTCAGTGACTAAGATAAATTACTAAAGCAAACCCCAGACTACCTCCCTTCTAGGGCTTCTTTGCTCACCTTTGGACAAGTGATTTCCGTCTGCTGGATCATGATGAGAGCTGACGCTATCAGAGCCCCTTGCCTCACGTAGTTCACAGGATCATTCGTCATGGGTTCTAGTAAATTAATTGCTTCCTGAAATCATTACAAACAAAAACAGAAACAAAACTTTAAGTGAAGTTGGGATGGCTGTATTTGCAAATCAATCGCTTTCAAAGGTATATTTTACATTAGGGTAATGTTTAAGATTTTTTTGTTTTGTTTTGAGACAGGGTTTCTCTATGCCCTGGCTGTCCTGGAATTTACTCTGTAGACCAGGCTGACCTTGAACTCATAGAGATCCACTTACTTGCCTCTGATTCCTGAGTGCTGGGATTAAAGGTGTGTGCCACCACTGCCTGGCTAAATTTCTTAAATAAAAGTAATCAAGTGCCAAATCTCTTTCAGCTATGTACAGATACCTAAGTCACACAAATTATCTAGAAATAAAGCAGACTTGTTTAGTATGAGCAATAAAAATTTTTCATTGTATTAACTTGTCAGATGCCATGTTTCAAAGAACATTTGCTCCTAGATATCATATTAAGTTTAGAATAATATGGAAAGAAAAAAAATCCAATTTGTATTTAAATTATGAGAGCTGACATAAATGTAAATTAAAAGCCTAAGAGGAAAAATACTTAGCAAAATGTCCAACTGTATCCTTCCTGTGTTTACAGAACAGATATATACAGAAAAAGAGGCAGCTAGCGAGACAGCCAGCAGGTAAGCAGCCTGCTGCTAAGTCTGAAAACCTGAGTTTGATTCTCAGGACCCACACACAGAAAGAGAGAACTGACTCCTGTAAGCTACCTCTGACCTGGACATATGTGCGGTGACATATGTGTATATACACTTAATGATTGCTCTAATAAAAATAGAGATACATAATTTTTTTCTTTCTTTTTCAAGACAGGATTTTTCTGTGTAACAGCTCTGGCTGTCCTAGAACTCACTGTATAAGGCTGGCCTCAAACTCAAGAGATCCACCTGTCTCTGAATTCTGAGAGCTGGGATTAAAGGTGTAAACCATCAAAACTGGGTGAAGATACACATTTAAAAAAATATTTTAGGGCCGGAGAGATGGCTCAGTGGTTAAGAGCACTGACTGCTCTTTCAGAGGACCCGGGTTCGATTCCCAGCATCCACATGGCAGCTCACAACTGTCTGAAAATGCAGTTCCATAAGATCTGAAACCACACCAACAAACATAATAAAGTTAAATAAATCAATAAAAAAAATTAATTACGTGTATGTGTGTGTAGAGGTGGGGGCAGGTAGTATGTGCACAAGAATTCAGGTACCTTTCAAGGCCAGAGGACGGTGTGGCATTTTCCAGAACTGGAGTTAAAAGACAGTTGTGAGCTACTTGATGTGGGTGCTGGGAACCAAATAATGATCTGCTGCAAGAGCAGTCTGTACTCTTAAACATGGAGTCATCTTTCCAGCCTTTGATATACGCTTTTTTTTAGCCCTAGCTGGCCTGGCACTTGGCCTTGAATTCAAAAAAGATCTACCTGCCTCTGCTTCACAAATGCTAGGACTGGAAACATATGCCCGTTTTCACAGATTCCCTAAGAAATTCCCTCCCTAATAAATCAAGCGCCAAGACGATTGCTGTCCTAGCAGTGAACATTTTACTCATGGGAATCTTATGTTTCAATAGAGGGGACATAGATATTAAACTAAATAGTTGTAACAGTATGCAAGGTAGCAATAAATGCTTATAAAACACCAGGAGAGAATGAAACAGCTGTAAAAATCCTTTTTAAAAATATTTATTTTCTTTTTATGCACATTGGTGTTCTGCCTGCATGCATGTCTGTGTGATGGTGTCAGGTCCTCTTGAACAGGAGTTATAGACAGTTGTGAGCTGCTATGTGGGTGCTGGGAATTGAACCATCTCTCTAGTCCCAGATCTAAAAATTCTTTTAAAAAAATTAATTTATTGGTGTGTGGTATATGTGTATGTGTGTGTCTGAGCTCGTATGGGCATAAATGCCATAGTGTGCACATGGAGCACAGCCTGTGGGCACTGGTCGTCTCTGTCCACCATATAGGTCCTAGAGGCTGAACTTAGGCTGCCAGGTTTGGTGGCAAGCACCTTTACCTGTTGAGCTATCTTGCCAGCCCAAAGGAAATTCAGAACCTTTATTGCATTAAACGATGTGTTTGTGTGTACACAGTGAGCATTAATGATGTGTGTTGGGGGACAGGGGTGTATCTAATATGAACACTCTTTATTAGAGGAAAAAGACAAGAAAGTTGGGCCTGAGAGATGGCTCAGTGGTTAAGAGCACTGGCTGCTCTTCCAGAGGACCTGGGTTCAATTCCAGCATCCAGCTCATAGCTCACAGTTCACAACTGATCTGTAACTCCAGCTCCAAGGGACCTAGTGCCCTCTTCTGGCCTCCATAAGCACTATGGTGTGGGTGATACGTATTTAAAAACATATTTAAAAAAAAAAAAACCTGAGTTAAAAAAAAGGGCCACCCAAGAGTCCTACATACATGTATGCTATTCGAGGTAAAGTATGGTGACTATATCAATGCTGTGAATCAAGACTCTATGTTATGGCCATCTGGGGAATCTAATGCCTCTGGTCTCCACTGGCATCTTCACTCATGTACACATACCCACACACATGCATATAATTAAAAATAACAACAACAAAAAGAAGAGTTAATTTTGGGTGGCTTCAAACAGCAATCTTAATTTCCACAATACCAATTAAACAGAGAATAAGCACGTAACACAACAGAGCAATTCTCAATAGCTGTCCACGAGCACTGTTGTTTGTTCTAGGAAGCCTCAGGCACCGTAACACGTAAGAGTGGGGAGCACTGTGAAGCTGTGTGCCAAACTCAGTCTTAGAGATCACACTGCACCTGTATTTTCACACTTTTCTGCAGCAGTAAAGCCTGGTGCCAGGAAAGAACTGACCTCATCGGTTTGAGGCCTTACCTTGTTTCCTGTGCCCGCACAGCAGATCCCTAGGGCCATCGCAGCTCCATAGCGCACGTGAGGGTTGTAACTCTCTGATAATAACGAAACAACACTTGGACACTGTTCAGGCGTCCTGATAGGAAACAAAAAAAGGAAGACTGTATTACAGGCGATATGCTATAAACCAAAAGATTTTAAACAGCTTTTATTGTCTTTTTCTAAGATACAGGAAACAACGTAATATTTAACAAATAAGTTGTAGAATTACAAATCTTCCACAGAACAGGATGTGTTGGCACAGACCTACAATCCAGCACTAGTGAGGAGTTCATCACTTGAGCAGAGCCTGTACTACATAGGCAATTCAAAGCTATCAAGGAACACAAAGTGGTAAGACTATTAAAAATTATGGGGAAAAAAACTTCCATGGAATGAGAGTAGAAATATATTTTCTACATTCAGAAAACACTCAGAGAAAGAGGCCTATATCAGGGATATCTTAAGCAAGCTCTCTGCATGCTGGCTATTTCCTAGCACCTTTCAAAGTGGACAGTCAGGCACAGGTAGCACATTCCTCTGTGCCCCCTTTCCTACTTTCTGGGCACTATGCATTTGGTTACATGAGACAAGGCATTTACAGAGTCTTTTAGATGTTTCCAGAGTAGCACACAAAGTATAAATACTCCAATCCCAGCACTCTGGAGGCAGAGAATACCTGTGACTTTGAGGCTATCCTGGTCTACATTGCGAGTTCCAAGCTAGCCAGAGCTACATAGTGATTGAGTGGGGGTGGGTATGCCACACTGAAATAAGTAACAAAATTCAGATATTTTATTTCAATAAAAAGTTCTCTGCTTACACCTAACAGTCATCTTACCAGTGTTACTATTTGTATAATCCTTCCAAGAGCAAGAACTGAAGAAGGGAATGCACACAAATCACTAACATCATCTAATCATAAATTGCACATATGAATTTCTTTGTTTCAACATTCTGACTTCTAACTACTATTTCTTTACTGAGTATTTTCTACAACTACTACATTACACCATATTAATAAATCAAGTGCTTTCAGAATATGGAGTCTTTCCCTTCCACTCTCTAACTCTCTCTACTAATAGAGAGAAAACTAGTAATATATTTACACAGGCAGAAACACTGTTCTTGGCAGGGTCATCACAAAGTAAGTTTTGAAGGCATAAAATTTCACGATATTTCTCTGGTAGAGTTACAAGTTTATGATTATCACTAGGTAAGTGCCATGACATCAGAGACTTAGCACAATTAACAGGAATTAAGATATATTGCCTCCTGTGAGGTCCTTGCCCTCCCTGAGATCCAAAAACCACCCTAAATAGAATCTAAGGCCAGCTGGATGTCTCTAACCAAAGACATCATCGACACCTCTGTCAACATACAGAGAGGACTAAAGAACATTCCCCTCCCTTAAACCACTTCTCTCATGACCATTCATCTATGCAATTCTATTCTATTCATTCTCTGATTCCTCAACCGATCTGCCAGTAAATCAAGCAAAACTCTTAACTCTGATTTCTGCTTTTATGATCTGCTTTTACTATTAACTTATTTGTGTTTAATTCATTGAGATTTAATTCATAGAGGAAACAGAGTGATCTGGGTTCTAATCCTAGGGTGATTATTCACTACCAGGGAGACAAGCTCTGAATCTTACTGAGACTTAATTGTTTCACTCACAAATACCTGTTCCTTTTTGTGCATGCTGCGAGAGCTGACGTGTCTCTATGCTGTCACCACTGAAATCTTAATGCAAAACCAGAATTTGGCTTTGGATCAGAAATTGGCACTTGTGTGCTAATAGCTGTGGTTGGATCTCTTTAAAGACAATGTAACTCACAGTCAAAGGTTCTTTCCAAAAAAAAAAAAAAAATCAAACAAGCTAGATTTGCTAGGTAGCTTGTTATACTTAAGCTTTTCACTTTCAGATATCCTCAGCAACTTTTTTAAAATTTATTTAAATTTATTTTTATTTTCTGAACATAGATTTTTGCCTGCATGTATGTTTGTGTGAGGGCGTTGGGTTCCCTGGAACTGGAGTTGCAGACAGTTGTGAGCTGTCATGTGGGTGCCAGGAATTGAACCCGGGTCCTATTTGGAAGAGCAGTCAGTGCTCTTAACCTCAGAGCCCCTCCTCAGCAACTTTTAGGCACCAGTGGCCTACAGTTTGTCATTTGGCTGCAGTAAGGGTGGGATATTCCAGGGAAAACTGATGCATAGAAAAGAGTTTACCTAAGAACCTATCTTAAAACTTCACTATTTTATAGTCTTCACTTGAAAGCAGTAGGAATAAATAAGATCTCCCAACACTATTCTTTAGTCACTGCCTCACATCCAACCTTAGTTTTCTTCCCTTCCTATCCACTGCGCAGAATTCCAGGTTTCGTCCTATTTTCATGCATATATACAATATACTCTGACCTTCCTCACCCCTCCATCACCTTTAGTAGAAAACCACCTGAAAGAGAATGCAACTCAGACATGTTTTGTTTTTCAAATGGCATTATTATTTTATGAGATTTTAGAAAAAAAATTCTCCCTGGAAACACAAATCCTCGGAGTTGTGACAGGGCTTAACCAGCTCGCTGGCTCAACTAAGACTGAAGCCAGTAGGAAGGGCTGGAAACTCAAAGCCTTTTTATAAAAAAAACCAAACAAACAAACAAAAACTGTCAGTTTTAGTCTAATAATATTCCAGCTCTGACACATTCTTTAGAAAACCTAAGTGTTTAGACAAGGAAAGACAGCCTTTAATAAACTAGCTTAGGCATTTAATCTCTTTTGAAGAGCACAATAAAGCCATAAGCTCTTCACAGGCTTGTCAGTGTCTCGGCAGACAGCTCTAATGGACAAAGGAGTTTCTAAGCAGTGACTGCAATGCAAAAACACACCAGAAACAAAAACCTGCCTAGTAATCTTTGTACATCATATGTATATAATGACTTAAAGTAGCAGTAAAATAAGTCATGATACACAAGGGATCCCAACATGATTATCAATGAGTACTAATACATTATGAAAACAATTAGACCTTATGTAAGTCATCACTCTTAGCTCTTAATTAGGAAATGGACAAATAAATAGGGAGAGAGAAACAGAATCTGAATGTTATCAAGCTTCCAAAAACCAACAATCAGGGATATAAAATAGGGGCCAGTGAGATGGCTTGGCAGGTAGGGCACCTGCAGTCAAGCCTGACCACCTGAGTCTGACCCTTGGGATCCACATGACTGAAGGAGACAAATGTAAGCTGTCCTCTGATATATGTGCTGTGGCATGCATTTCTTTCTCATACCATACACGCGCGTGTACACACACACACTAAATAAAATTGTTAACAAAACTTGAAGAAGAATTTTATGCAGTACAGAAAATAAAATACATTAAATTATAATACAGAGATGCAATCAACAAAAAGTACTATGAGGGCCGGGCGGTGGTGGCGCACGCCTTTAATCCCAGCACTCGGGAGGCAGAGGCAGGCGGATCTCTGTGAGTTCGAGACCAGCCTGGTCTACAGAGCTAGTTCCAGGACAGGCTCCAAAGCCACAGAGAAACCCTGTCTCGAAAAAACCAAAAAAAAAAAAAAAAAAAGTACTATGAGGAACCAAACAAGAATAATGACCCAAAAGAAGGAAAAATGAGAAAAGGAAGAAAAAAAATAGATCTAGAGGACTGTCTGCAGCTAATGTTGGATGGGGAAGGGGAAACCACTTTCTTCAGTGTTATAGCCATTGGTAAGATGCCCATGCTCTGTAAATGACCCAATGAAACCATTTGCTGGGAGTCAGACACTAATGAATGTAGAGGCAGGATAGCTGGGAAGAGGAAAGCAATGGATGGGAGTGGGAGAAGGAAAGGGAGAATATGATTGAAATACTTTAAAAATATTATTATAAAATATACACAAATCCTGCCAGGTAGTGGTGGCGCACACCTTTAATCCCAGCACTCGGGGAGGTAGAGGCACTTTGAGTTCAAGGCCAGCTTGGTCTCCACATGAGTTCCAGGACAGTCAGGGCTGTTACAGAGAAACCCTGTCTTGAAAAACCAAAAACCAACCAACCAACTAACCAACAAAACAAAACTCACAAATTCCATCAACAATCTAGATGTAAATAAGTAAATAAATTCCAAAGGACCTATGAAGACCGTTTCAAGAGAAAACCCTGAGAATTCTAAAGTTTTAACACTAAGCAAGTTTAAATTTCAAGAGCATAATTGTAAAGACTTATTATATATTGCTTTTCAAAAATGGGCAGAAATGCATTTTTTTTCTATACATTATACACTCTTCCCAATTAAAAATCTGTGGGAAAAGAAGCTGGCAATGAAACAGCTCCCAAATCCAGAGGCTGTTTAGAAATGAGCAGTGACAAAGTTTCTGCCAAAACCTATGTATACAAGTAGCATGCAGACCTTTCTGTGTGCTCTTCTATATAAGGCAGTGACATGAGCAAGTTCATTGTGCTCCACAGCAAAGGAACAAAGCTGGATAAGAATTTTGTTTCATTGCTAGAAATTACAAGTTCCAAACCTTCTAGATTATATCTCTTTTTTCCTCAGAAGGGAAAAACAGTGGAGGCTTAATTCCAAATAAAATAAAATCATCTTATGCTAAAGTAATAGTTTACTACATTTCCCCCAATATCAAAGATAAGAATGTAACTTGAATAAGGGTCATGACTGGTTGGCCACAATTAGCGAGTGGTTTTATGAATTACAATGAATGCAGCTATGCTCTAATAATGACAGTATCAAAGAGGAAATAACCTCTCTGGCAGGCGTACAGCTGCTTACAAGTGCCAGTGCTGGAAGCTCAGAGTAAGTCAATGGGAGGAGGATGTCAGAAGGAGCCCAACTGAACAGACACAAGGACGGCATGCTTAGGAAACTCACAAGCAGATAAGAGGTAAGTAGCTAACAAATACGTATGGAATATAACTTAGGTTTTTGCTGTTTCTATCTTAATCTTCAGGAGCTTTGTTTCCACAGTCTTTTCTATCTATTCAGTGGATTAAAGTTTATAAATACGGAAGGGCTAAATTAATATGGGGATTGTGAGTATAATGAACAAATAACTTCATCTTCCTCTTAGAGTGCTTCTCAAGGGAATCGGGAAGAGAAAAGAAGTACTTAAAAAAGAACGGTTCAAATTTGGCAGACTTAAGTGATCACATTTAAAACCTTGTAGAAAGACGCAGTTATTACTAAAATCAAGTACTTGGCTAGTAATACTTTGGACTACTTTCTCTCCAACTAAAGGAATTATAAAATGAGTCATAAAAAAGCATTTAAATCAGCACCCATCAGAAAAATGATCACAGCACTCTGATTCTCAGCGGGTAAATCCTGACTCAGCCCTTAGGTGGGCTTGAGTCTGACTGGGTGGGTGGCAGTACTTACCGAATCCCTCACTTGCAACTCTTTAGAGCTCTGACCACTGCTGTGTGTTTTCTACAGTTAAGGAAAGTACCCAGGGTTCAGAGAGCATGTAGTGTGCTATCTCCTCTAGCACTGCCTCTGTGGCAAATCAGAAATACAGTATTTTTGTGGGTACTGGCTGAACTATCACAAATGCATACTAACCTATCAAAATAGGAGGGTGTACTTAGTTAGCTCTAGTGTTCTTTTTTTTTATTTTATTTTTTTTACTGATTTCTGGAAATAACACAACCTCTCTGTGTCTAAGGGAAACTCTCTGGTATTTAAGTTCAAATTCTTCTCTTAAAATTACATTAAAAAGGATGAGAAACTAACATCTTTTTTCTTCTACTTCTATTGATATTTTTCATTGAATCTTCTGAAATCTAAGCCTCTAGAAAAAGACTAAAAATCTGGATGCCTTACCAGCAAACATGGACAGATGCGTACACATTCCCACCTTGCAGAACCTGAATCTTTAAAAAGGAATATAAGTCAACCTTGGCTTTGAATGTTTGGCATGGGTACAACGCCTTGAAAAAGCAGATGACAAGCTTAGCTACTGACCATGCTGACCACTGTCTGGTACTGGACTGAACCACAGAACAGCGAACGGTTTGCTCTTATAGAATGTCGGAACAAAGCACAAATCCTGAACACATTCTACAGAATATATGTGATCATTTGATCTTGTCTAACCATTCTGGATTAAAGACAGAATCAATAGCAAAGGAGATGAAGCTGGTTGCCGAGGAACAGGGGACTAAAGTACACTGGGCAGCTCTGCTGATACTCATGGTGATAATACCCACCATTGGGGGGAACATCCTTGTTATTCTGGCTGTGTCGCTGGAGAAAAGGCTGCAGTATGCTACCAACTACTTTCTAATGTCCTTGGCGGTGGCTGATTTGCTGGTTGGATTGTTTGTGATGCCGATTGCCCTCTTGACAATCATGTTTGGTAAGTATTTCCCTTTGTTCCTGCCATTGAACCCCATCCACTAAAGAACCTGACATTCGTTTGATCTTTATTTTCTTTGAAATAAAAGATGGACCTGGATTAAAGATATAGAAGGGAACATTCCCTTATTTTTTTCTATGATTTGTAATAAATGTAAAAGGACACAAAAGTAATTTCTTAGGAACAATTTTACCCCCTCCTCAGCCACCTTATAAAATCATTAATTTGGCAATATTCACAATTTCTGCATGCATTATCTAAAAATTATAATAAGTAAAAAACCCACACCTGTCAAAAAAAACTATTCACTTTTCCTTTAACAAAGTAATCAATATCTTGCAAAATTCTAGGACCTTAATAATAGAATCACTGAATCATCGAGTCCCATTCCTATTACAGTTCTTGCCTTGAACCTTTAAGAAAAGATGTTTAGTTACAAAAGGAAATTGTCTGGCTCAGAGTACCTCAAGAGAAGACCCATCTGTTTAACTTTTTTATGGTATCTGACCATCTGTGTTCCTAATAAACCTGTAAGTCAATAAAATAAGTAGAACAGATGAGTTACTATGATAATAAAAATATAGTTTGACTTTCAGATCTTTGTTATAATAAAAAAGAGATAATATATTAAAGTAGGCATAAGGAGTTTCTTCTGTGTGTACATTATCCCAAACTATGTTAGCAAACACAAATGATTTTATTGAGGAATTATGAGGGCTCCTAGTTTCAAAGTCAGCACTAAAAGAACATTTAATTAGTCAATGTTTGGGATAAACTGATATTCCACTAATAAACCACTTAAGAAAATTATAGATGCTCAGGCTTCCAAGAATTGTGCTTATATGTGGAGAATAAACACACAAGTTATAGAAGTAAAATTTATTAACCCAGAGCACACTCATCTATTAAATTAAAAAGTAAAGAAAAACTACTATTGCAATTATTTCTTATAGAAAACAACAGGGAGACATATAAAATGAAGAAGCTGTGTCTTTACATGTAGTAAGATGGTCAGAAGTTAAAACTTCCTGCTGCAAAGCAACACTCACCCAGCTTTAAACGATAAACATGCTTCTACTGCCCTATTAGATTCTCTAATCAGTAGTATTGTTTCGCTCTCTTTTCCCTTTCCTTTGGTGATTCTGTAATCTCTTGAATATCCCAATGGTATATGTTAATCACATAAGAAACGACATTCTAGTAACAACCTGGAGCTCAAAGAATTTAGGAAGGATGATGCAGGGATGTATGTGGAAGGACCTCATAGGATTAAGATTCCAATTCTCAACTCCATAACAACAGTTTGCAGAATAAAACTGTACTCTTTGATGCTTTGCTAGGCATACAGAAAAATATCAAAATGCATTATCTTTAAATCAATAAAAAATGCATTATCTTTGTTTTACTAATATAAAATTGAAAATATTGGATAAAGAATTGAAGGAATTTTACATTAGTAAATTTTAATTTGAAAGCTTAGTCCGTAACTACCAAATATCTACTATACACAAAATTCTGAGCTAGGTACTTAAATCATTGCATTAGGATAAGGAATCTTAACACAGAAAAAGTCTATAGTGTTCAAGTTAGCTGATAAACACTCCACAAGGAGTTTTCAAATAGCAGGCACCCCATGAGATAAAGAAACTGCTTATACAGAAAAGTATTGCTTAAGATATTCTCCTCCCACCCCCAGACAGGGTTTCTCTGTCTAGCTTTGGAGCCTGTACTGGAACTTATCCGCCTGTCTCTGCCTCCCGAGCGCTGGGACTAAAGGCGTGCACCACCACCGCCTGGCTATAAAACACAGCAGAAAACTAAACATTTTAACATAAAATATATAAAACACCTACATACTTATGCCTTAAATTATAACCCATCTTAACAGCATTTCATTCTTCAAATACTTATAAAACAAAATACAATGTCTCATAGTCTCAAGCACGTTGCTACCAGTAATTATGCTGCACAAAGGAGTTGTTAGATTGGGGGATAGGGAAGCAACCCTAACCAACCTGGGAATGTAATCACCGTTTAAAATGTCACAGTATAAAGTCACTATTTAAGACATAATCTATGACCACAGGGCATATAGACAGATGCTACCCTTGAAAAGCACCAAACGAATGTCTAGTAACTATCTGAAGTGAAAGGGTGGGGACCTGACATCAAATAGTAAGATCTTTATATATCCTTTTCCAGCTAGATAAATACTAAGACTTTCTAAACTAACACATTTGCAAGAATTTTTGATAATTTTTAAAAGTAGCAGTAAACAATGTATGGGAAATCTTCAGAACTTCTGAAACCTACAAACCAAAGTGTTCTTGGTTATATAATCACAAAAGATTAATTACCATTATGAACAATTTAAGCTATTACAAGAAGCCACTAAAAACCTTTACAGCAGTTAAGCATTCTAGTAAAGTCAAACTTTAAAAAGAATGAGCTAGAAATAACAAAGTGGTCCTCGTGTTCTTAACTGAGGGATATTTTATTCAAACATTTATTTGTAATATTTAACTCCGTATTGTCTGAATTTCTGTTTTACCAAGACCATGACACTCTTGACATGACACTTTTAACTTCTCTGCCAAATCTTCTTTGGGAACACTGGATGCAATATTTACAGGTTTATTTACCTATTTATTTTTATTGTTTTATCTCTTATTCTTAAAACCCACGATCATAATGCAATAGCTTTTAACACAAACCCTAAAAATACCCACATTAGAAATACTTGAGCAGGGAAGTCTGAGGCAGGAAGACTGCAAACTGGATGTGAGCCTTAGGGTACACAGCAGTAATAAGTAACAACATATTCCTCCTCTAAGCAGAAGCATGAACACAGCCCAGTTACAATATGTATAGGCTATTAGTGTTCTAGTGCAATAACAAATAGAGGTAACATTCAATTTTACTAAGACACTTCTGATAAATTTCAGCGCTGCAGTAGGTATGTTCCCACTGTGTTCTCTGCCTCCCCAGTACAGGCTCACATTCAAGCAGATGTACTGCACTCTTGCTCTACTTGGACAAGATAAAGACACTGGTTTTACATGGGTTGGGGGATCTGGTTTGTTTCTGAACATGTGTGCCTTCATTGCTATTTGGTTGACTATAGTCACTGTTCAGAACAGTAACAACTGTTATTCTGAGTGATCTCTCTGAATACACACTGTTTCAAATACTTTGCAATATTATTTTATTGTATTTCAAAGCTTTAAATACAATAAATGTAGCAAGCTTATAAAACAGGTAATGGCACCACCGCAGACAAGATCTACAACAGTTAACTAAATTTTCTGAGATGATAAAATAAGTGGCAGCAATATGTGGATCTAGGGCTGATTCTGGAAAATTCCTATGCTCAGTCCTTATTGCTCTACTCTGCCTTCTCAAAGACAAATGCTGATTCTACCAACCCAAAGTATTATGTTCAGCATATGGGACTAACAAGAAAGCCTATAGAATTTTGGGAATGGTGAGGCAGAACCCTGTATCTTTCAATCAAAAATGTATTTCACATTATGTGATAGAATACTTAGGCCTCACCTAGTACTTGTACAAATCCTTGAGATGACCAACTAACCTATTTTCTGGAGGAAGGTACTAGAAACAGTCAATGCCTATGACGTTGCCAAACCTTGCTGGGAGGCAAACAGGAACTTAGGCAGCACGCAAGTGACTACCATCCCAGACAGGGTCTCTACAGCTTGCAGTTTCACAATAAACAAAGCATTGTCTTAACTAACAGCTGAGTAAAAGATCTATAAACCAAAGACATGTTTTGCTCCTCAAATATTACTCTATGACATTTAGCCTACAATTACTTTGGGTGCCCAGAGAAATGCCATTTTTCAAATATTCCTTTTTTTAGTTTTAGTTCAAAGGCAATAAAGGAAGACAGTTGGATTGGAGCATAGCTTAATGGCATAGTGCTTGCTTAGTCTCGAGGCTCTGGTTCACTTCAGGGATGGTGGTGGTGATAAGGTTTGAAGAAAAGAGAATAGGCTGGGTAGAATTTGTTTTTCAGAAAATTTTATGTGAGAGTCCAAGAAAAGCAGTTACTAATCTATGTGCCAGATTAACTTCTCATAGATACTATTTTTCTTTTCTTTTTAAACTTAAATCTTTCCTGTTCACTTGATTATTAAAAATTTAATTAATACACAATCCAAGTCTTGCTGCAAATAAGGCATTACAAAAAACAAATATAAATCAACCCGATGCTTCCTATATGCTACATGGGTGCCCCACCATCAGATTACATTCCTAGCTCCTTTTGTGCTTTTCTACACTGTTGCATTTTTGTTTTGGAGATAGGTTCTTGTTATGTTGTCAAGGCTGGCTTTCATCTGACTATGAAGTCCAGGCTAGCCTGAAAGTTTTCATTTACCTGCTTCAGCCTCCAAGTGCTGGGATCACAAGCAAGTGCTACCATGCCCATAATTACATTCTTGCTTTCTCCACACCCCATTTAGATTTTATTTTAATCTTACTTTATGTGTTACTTAGCTTGCATGTACACCTATGCACCATGGGTGTGCCTGATTCTGAAGAAGGACAGAAAAGGATGCCAGGTCCTCTGGAACCACGGCTGTAGATGGTTCTGAGCTGTCATATGGTGCTAGGAATTAAACACAGATCCTCTAGAAGAACAGCCAGGCTCTGAACCACTTTCTTGCTTTTAATAAAAGATTTCTATTAATTCAGTGCCATTATATTGCTTTCCTAAGTCTATCCATTAGTATTTCATGAAAGGTGGGATCTTAAAGATGTATCTCTCTCAATCTTATAAAATCCTGCTCTTTCTTCAAATCTATACCACTGCCAGATAGTTCTGATTAAAATAAGAATGTTCTAGTGATCTGAACTAATTTTAATTCTCATTTTTCCAAAATTGGTGTTCATAAATACATTAGCTCTGTTGGAAAATAAGGCTAACAGGCGTCCTAGGCCTAATGAAGTCAGCACTGGAAGGCTTGCCCTTTTAGCCTATAAGCAGAAATGCCATGGGTCAAAGAGTCAAATTCCAAAGGCATGTAGTTTTTATGTGTTCTCTGTGGCTTCCTGCTCATGGCTACAAGATTTATGACTAGAATTTTCCAGACCTTAATTTTCAAATGTAGAATACATAATTAAGAATAGCTAAGTAGGCAAGTTTAAATTAGTAGCAAAGTATTTTATTTTAAAAGTTCTACAGAGACTGTATGCACGTGAGGATAAAACATAGCCAGGTGTGGCAGAAGGGTTGCATATTTTAGGTCAGCTTGAGTCACATGGTGCTATCTCAAACAAAACAAAACTCCTAAACCAAAAAAAAACAAAACAAAACAAAGCAAGCAACAGAATAGCAGTAATTTCAGTGGTAAAAAGGCTGCTTTGCATAATTCAGGTCCTGCTTCAATCTCTAGCAACATACATGCTCTTAAAGTATTTTTATTTTTGATGAAGATCTTGCTATGTTGCAGGCTGGATTAAGGCCTTGAATCAAGTGACCCTTCCATGTCTGCTTCCACAGTAACTGGAACTATAGGGACTACACAATCCTAATTTTTCTATTTCCCTACTCCTAGCCCAGAATCTAGGGTATTGCTTCCCATGAGTGTCCACTGTGAAACTCTCTTAATCACTGACTCTTTTCCTTCTTACACTGTTTGTCTTTAATGTCGGGTAGTTAAAGAATGCACTGCTATTTTCCACTGACGACAGAAAACTGGAATAGTTAAGAAAATTCAACTGCTTAGGTTCTATCACAGGTCTTTGCTCTAAGAGGCTCTCATGAGGTTTCATGTGTGTATGTCAGGAGTTTTCTTCGATCACTTTCCATTGTATTTTTTGAGACAGGTTCTCAACTGAACCCAGAGCTCACTGATTTGACTAGCCTGGCTGGCCAGCAGGTCCCAGAGACCCTTTTCTGTCTCCCTAGCACTGGGGATTATTCCAATACGAGATTGTAAGTGCGGACTGTCACATGTGGCTTTTATAAGGGTTTCGAGGATCTGACCTCAGTTCTCATGCTTGATTGGAAGCACTTTAGCTCCTAAATGAGTGTCTATCTCACACAAGTACACCCAGACTTACGTTTTAAGACTAAAATAGCCTTTCCTACAGTCTTCCCACAGAATAGATGTTTAAGCTTTCATTTCCATACAGAACATGTGGGGATTGGTTTACTGCATTCTCATATAATGCCTGTATGTAACCCAAGAGCCTACTTTCCCAAACAATGACCCAGGTGACATTCATCTCTATTCACTATTTGTAATCAGGGTACACAATGTTCTAAAGGATGTTTTCAATTAATATTTCAATTCTGATAAATGCTCTTCCCTCCATAAACTCATATTCAAAGACTTAATTACATCTGAATTGACTCATCTGAAACATCAAGGATATCTCCGTGGTCATTTTAAGAAGCTAAAAAATATGTACTGGCCTAAGAAAAAAGATTAATTTGAAGATTGCTATTCTATAAACAAAAAAATTCTTTTTCTTTCAGAGGCTATATGGCCCCTCCCATTGGTCCTGTGTCCCGCCTGGTTATTCCTTGATGTTCTCTTTTCAACTGCCTCCATCATGCATCTCTGTGCTATTTCGGTGGATCGCTACATAGCCATCAAAAAGCCAATACAGGCCAATCAGTGCAACTCCCGGGCTACTACATTTGTCAAGATTACAGTGGTATGGTTAATTTCAATAGGTATGTGGGGAATGCCAAAGGTCTCAGTGGAGTGTCCAGTCTTTATTTCCATATGGCCAGAATGCCAGGTCTGGTACCTAGAAAACCTCAGAGGCCAAGGAAATCCATTGATATCCAAGAACTTGCACACCACATTCACTGTGCAGCTTCTAAGCCATTATCAGTAAAACCTACATTAGCAGTAAGTCTATGCCTTTGGAACCGGTCATTATTTTCTGAGGTCCCATCATACTTCGATTTTGATATTCAGGAAATTTAAGCCGCAAACTGTGTTATATTTGCCAATAAATTATTAAGTTCTAACTAGCATGAGGAATCTAACCACCAAAGTAAAACAGCAAAAAGTGAAATGCATCTTAAATCACATTTAACAGCATAAACAAGAGAGGAGAAAAAGACAACGAAGCCAAACTTTGTAAGCAGGCACTAAAGACCATAAATTCACCCAGGAAGTTATGTTCCAATGTGTACAGACTGAAAGCAGTTAAATATCCACTTTAGTGTCTTAACTGTCAAAAATATCTAAGATAGATGTTAAGCTAATGTTTAGAAATGGTTTATAGAAAGAAATCAATTTTCTTTAAACTGTTCTATGATTCTGCACTAATCTTTTTGATATTTTTAAAGATTTATTTATTTTTATTTTATGTATGAGTGCTTCGCCCGCATGTATATAAGTGTATCTTGTGTGTGCCTAGAGCCTGAGGGGGCTTCGTGGGGCACTGGACCTCTTGGAAGTGGAATTTCAGCTGGTTGTGAGCTGTCATCTTGAAGGCTCAAGGCTAGCTGCTATCAGAGTGCCTTGAATGAAGTGCATCATCCATTCAAAGCTCTCTCAAGATAGTGCAGAAAAACAAACTTGCAGATTTGTAACAAATGATCTGATCAGCACATTCGCTGCTTTGCAGTAGAAAGAAAAAATTTTTGAAGAAAATAATTACGAATCCTGAAGTATTAGAAGGGGAGTAAAAACAAACAAACAAACAAAAACTATTGCTTACTTCTCTCTAACCAGTGTAAAAATGTGCTCAATAAAGCAAGAAAGACATCAAGATTATCTTCACTTTCCTGAAATAATGGCTCATCTTGGAAATGCCTGGGAGTAAACGTCAAGGCAAACTACTAGTCTGGCATGGAAAGAAGGAGAGTTAAAGAAATGTCTTCAGAATAGAGATTTTTTTTTTTTAAATATCAAATAGTAATGACCAGAATGAGAAAGTGAAGTGTCTGGTAAGGGAAAGAAGAGTGCAAATAAAAAGATAGGTCAGGGTCAGCAGACTTTTTTATAATGGGCATAATGTGGTGACAGTTTGTTGGTCAGAGGGCATCTAAATTAAGGCTGGATAATATGACTTTATCAACATCCAATTTTTACTAAAAGTAAATTTCAAGCTTGTAAGAATACACGAAGAAAAAAGAAAAAGTGTTCAGCAGTTATATGCGGTAAGTAAATATTTTAGATTGCAGGCTCCATGGACTTAACTGTTCTGTAGAAGAATAAAAGTGTATGTTCTCGTTCTCTCTCTCTCTGTCTCTCTCTCGTTCACTTTAACCTCTCTGGCTATCAAACCCAAGTTGTTCTGGGTAAAAGAAGCTACAGTTACTACAGTACTAACGAGGATGGCTGTTCTAGCAAAACTTACAGAAACAAATGCCAGACAGTGTTCCTCTAGCTATAGACACTGATGCCCTGGAGCAGAGCACACAAACTCTTCTTTCCAGTGGTAAATATGTAACAGATGGCAAGGGTAGAGGCTGCTACTGTAAAAGGTTTGAGAAAACTGCCTTGTTAAAAACTGTGGGGTATTAGAAATAAGTTGTGAAGAAGACAGAGTGCTTTTGGATTTATTAAACAATATAAGATAAAAGATTAATCAGCTTGGGTCTGGTGAGATGGCTCAGCAATTAAGGGTACTGACTGCTTTCCCAAAGGACCCAGGTTCAAATCCCAGCACCATATGGCAGCTTACAACTGTCTGTAATTCCAAGATCTGACACTCTCACACAGACTTACCTGCAGGCAAAACACCAACACACATAACATAAACTTTAAAAAAAGATTAATTAGCTCACATATTTAAACAATATCTGCTGTTTTGAAGGTGTGACTCTTGTGTTATTCCCTTTTCTAATAACTACTTCACTGATCAACATATTCAATACATTATAGTACTTAAATTATTAAAGAAATAGCACAAGGTATACATATTATCAACTATTAGAGGAACTCTCAACCTTGAAAACAAGTTTTCTTGTTTCTTAAGCAGCAATTTTTAAAGAAAGTCCATTTTTTCTCTATAAAGGATTAAAATACATTCACAAATACCAAAAGAAAATTCTTAAGTGAAGGTGTATAACCTCAAAGATAATAGATAAATAGATACCATTTGAAAATTAAGACACTGAATCTCTTTAAATTCTCTCCAAATTAACTACTCTGGATATTAGCCTTATCTTCTGAGTTCTTTTCCAACCTGGAAAAAGGAGATTTGCTCATTTAGAGTTCTTTGTTTAGATTCCATTTATAAAGAATCTGCTGGGGCTGGAGAGATGGCTCAGTGGTTAAGAGCATTGCCTGCTCTTCCAAAGGTCCTGAGTTCAATTCCCAGCAACCACATGGTGGCTCACAACCATCTGTAATGAGGTCTGGTGCCCTCTTCTGGCCTGCAGGCATACATGCAGACAGAATATTGTATACATAATAAATAAAAATAAATTAAAAAAAAAAAAAGAATCTGCTGTTAACACCTGACAGATCTGAAGCTGAGGGTCTCAGGAATTATAATGCATTCATCAGCACGGAATTTCTAAAATTAACTCTCAAAACAACTAATCTAAGAACAAGAGGTCATGAAAATGACTCCATTTATCTTGCTTCATTTCGTCTTCCTCAGGCATCGCCATCCCAGTCCCTATTAAAGGGATAGAGAATGATGTGATTAACCCAGACAACATCACCTGCGCGCTGAAGAAGGAACGCTTTGGCAACTTCATGCTCTTTGGCTCGCTGGCTGCGTTCTTTGCACCTCTTGCAATCATGATAGTCACCTACTTTCTTACTATTCATGCCTTACGAAAGAAAGCTTACTTGGTCAAAAACAAGCCATCTCAGCGCCTAACTTGGTGGACTGTGTCCACTGTTTTCCAAAGAGAAGAGTCATCCTTTTCCTCACCTGAAAAGGTTGCAATGCTGGATGGTTCTCACAAGGATAAAACTCTACCTAACTCAGGTGATGAAACTCTTATACGAAGAATGTCCTCAGTTGGAAAAAAATCAGCACAGACCATTTCTAACGAACAGAGAGCCTCAAAGGTCCTTGGAATTGTATTTTTCCTCTTTCTACTTATGTGGTGTCCCTTTTTTATTACAAATATAACTTTAGCTTTGTGTGATTCCTGCAACCAGGCTACTCTCAAAACGCTTCTGGAGATATTTGTGTGGATAGGTTACATTTCCTCAGGGGTGAACCCTTTGATCTACACCCTCTTCAATAAAACCTTTCGGGAAGCATTCTGCAGATATATCACCTGCAATTACCGGGCCACAAAGTCAGTAAAAGTCCTTAGAAAATGTTCCAGTACAATCTACTTTGGGAATTCCATGGTAGAAAACTCTAGATTTTTCACAAAACATGGAATTCGAAATGGGATCAATCCTGCCAAGTACCAGAGCCCAATGAGGCTCCGAAGTTCAACCATTCAGTCTTCATCAATCATTCTCCTAGATACACTTCTCCTCACTGAAAATGATGGTGACAAAACTGAAGAGCAAGTCAGCTATGTGTAGCAGAACGGGCAGTCCTCATCTAGCTCGAGTAAGGGGATGAGCATGATGCTAGTGCACAAAGACAAACATACAGAATAAAAAATCATCTCCTGAAAGCAAGAGTTAATATTCAGGTTGTCCAATTTCCTTATCTAAACAAAGCCAAAACATGGATAAAGTAGCTTTGTATGGCTATAAACAAAAGCAATTCCTACTCTGGTTTTCAAATGAAATAAAATTATATAAATCAATAAATTCTAGTCTTAAAAAATCAATGTCATAAATTAAATTCCTAATTGTATGTAAAATTGGGCTAAGAATGAAATAAAATGTTAACTCTCTAAGTTGGTTTTTTGTTTGTTTGTTTTGTTTTGTTTAAGGGAAGGTTTCTCTGTGTAACAGTTCTGGCTGTCCTGGAACTTGCTTCATAGACCAGGCTGGCCTTGAACTCAGAGATCTGTCTGCCCCTGCCACCCAGGTGCTGGGATTAAAGTGCCGCCAAGGCCTGACTAGTTTTTTTTTTTTTTAATAGATAGATTGATTGATTATGTATGCAGTGTTCTGCCTGCAAGCCAGAAAAGGACACCAGATCTCATTATAGATGGTTGTGAGCCACCATGTGGTTGCTGGGAATTGAACTCATGTCCTCTGGAAGAGCAGCCAGTACTCCTAACTGCTGAGCCATCTCTGCAGTTCAACTCTCTAAAATTTTAAAAGCATGAGGCATAAACAATAGTGACATGACCAAAAGACAAAAACAAATGACTGAAACAGTGATTACAGAATAGGGAGATGATGGTTCAGAATGAGAGCCTGAGTCTGGGTCCCTTGCACCCACATAGAAAGTGGGTATAGAAATGCCTGTCTGCAATCCTATTGCTGGTGAGGGCAGGAGGATCCCTAAGTTCACTAGCTAGCAATTCTTGCTGGACCAATGAACTCCACATTCAGTGAGACCTCCCTCAATCCCACGAAAATGATACAAACTGGATTTTCTTCCCCCCCAAAATATACATATAAAACCCTAAAACCAAAACAAACAACAAAAAACTTACAAAAAATCATATTTGGAGGTAAATGAGAGTGGCTTTAATGTAAGATAGTTAAACGCAGTCATTTTTCTCATCAGGAGAGGACAGTAGTTAGATGTCAGGAAATGTAACAGGCCTTAGCAGTGGAACTGCTAACAGGCATTTTGTCAGCGGAAGCAGGTCCATTGGAAGAGGAGGAGGAGAAAGCAAATGAAATCACCCTTGGGTACTTGATCTGCACTATGCTCCTTAAAGGTGTGAAAACAACATGCTAAAACTGGAGCTATGGAACCCCAATGCAGAGACCTAAGTAAGTGAGTGGTCTCATACAGAGGTTATCCCTGCTTGTATTTATCCAATGATGTGGCTGAACTTCTAGTATAAAATTTTTCATTTACTGTTTGTTGTTTCACTTGTGCTGTTAAGAGTTGGAAACGAGTCCAATCTGTACTGGATAGCTGACCGAATGTAGAAGTGATCTTTAGTTTAGCTGTACCTCAGGTTTTGAATCTACATTTTGTGCCATCCTTAGCAGGGATCAGCAAACAGTGTCAGTTCTGCTGACTGCTGGGGCATTCATTCACTCAAAGCAAACAAATCTAAGCTGGAGGAGGTGGCCACGAAGATGAGCCCATGTCTTGGCTCTGCCATCTAAAGCTGAGCTGACTTATACTTTGACCTCCTGCTCTATCACTGAGCTTTCCTAGGCAACTGAGTTTAGGACAATTACCTTATAAAATGTGTGGGATGGATAATCTCAGTGTAAGTAAATCAGACATATACTCCTCTAGAGGAAGAATCTTTTCCAGAACATGGATGTACAGACCCCAATATGTACATATATGTATGGGCTCTGAATCATCTGCCAGGCAAATTTTAATTAATTTATCATGAAAGCACTATGCACTTCCCCCTAGTGGTCTTAATACTTTTTAAAAACAGGATACAGATGGAATAGTTCAGTTAAAAAAAAAAACAAACAAATAACGACAAATATCAAAATAATTTATACTTCCCTACCCCCAAAATAGATTAAAAAAAAACAAAACAAAACAAAACAAAACAAAAGCCAGACACAGAGAAAAAAATTATTCTGTTTTGGTTTGAGGTTATAATCTGATGAGTCTGCCATATGTTACTATTTATATTCTTGTCATAGTAAACAGATTATTTTCTTCCGCTTCCTGATGCTATAGATTAAAGCCAGGGCCTCATGAAAGCCAAGACAAGTGTCTTATTGCAAAGCCACTCCCCTAACCTAAGGTGGCTACTGTCAGGCATCACACTGATAATACTCTAAGCTGTTCATTTCATATACCTAGAAGCACATACAGGTGTTTCAGAAACTCTAAACCCAGTTACTGTTAGTTACTGGTAATACTACCAAAGCACTGCCCAACATACTCTGTACTGTTTGCAGGTTTCCATTACTGCACACCTACAAAAACAATAACAGAATCTATAAACTAGCTTCAGCTATTACTTAAAGTATCTTTGAGTTTATCTATAGCTAGTGAGATGATTCTAGTATTTCCAGATAGTCTACTGATTAAACTATAACATTATTATCAACTATTTGTGAAAAGGAACAACAGTTTCAAAATTTTACTGTTATTTAATTGCAATTTCTATTTTATGACTATTTTTTAAAATAAAGGCAGGTCTCAGTTTATATAGCCAAGGTTAGTCTTACACTTATGATCTTCCTGAAGGTGGGATTACAGGCATATACAACCATGATGTCTATCAACTTTTTAAAACCTCTATTTTGTTTCTCTGGTTTTGGATTTTGTCTTTTTTTTTTTTTTTTTTTTTTTTGGTTTTTCGAGACAGGGTTTCTCTGTGGCTTTTGGAGCCTGTCCTGGAACTAGTAACTAGCTCTGTAGACCAGGCTGGTCTCGAACTCACAGAGATCCGCCTGCCTCTGTCTCCCGAGTGCTGGGATTAAAGGAGTGCGCCACCATCGCCCGGCTCTGGATTTTGTCTTTTGATGCAGCGCTAGGGATCAAACTCAGGGTCTTGCAGATGACAGAATATTGCCCTACCACTGAGATCAACCCCCAGTTCTACTTTGCCACTGATCATCATAATCATTATAACCGAGTAACAGTTTCCAAATCTGGAGAAAGACTGAAAATAGTATAAATGCATGGTCTATCTTGTGAAGAAAGGGAATAATACAGATGAGAATTATACACAAAGATAATTTCATTTCAACTGAGAAAGAATAAATGTTTTTGATATTTATGTCCAATTAGCATATCTAAAGAGTTTGTTTTTGTTTTTATAAATCAAGACGAAATAAATCCTTTAGACATGGTGTAAGCTAAACGACTGAAAGGTTATTTTAAGAGATCAGAGATGATGGTACACACCTGTAATCCTAGCACTTGGAGGACTGAGGCAGGATGATTATGAAGCCAGCCTTGGCTACACAGTCATAGTGAGTATGAAGCCAGCCTGGAACAAGAACCTGGCTCAAAAACCAAACCCTGACTATCAGAGGAAAGGGAAAGACAAAAGAGTGAGCTCTGGAGAGATGGCTCAGCAGTTAAGAACATGTGTTGCTTCTGCAGAAGAAGGTCTTAGGATCCACTCCCAGAACCCACATCAGTGGCTCACAACTCTAAGTAGATCTGATGATACCCGGTACTGACCTCTGTGGTTTCTGCACACATGTGATGCACATACATACATGCAGGTAAAACACATAGTTAAAAAAAGAACAAAAAACCAAAAAACTAGAGTACAATACTTGAAAGTAAATGATGTCACATGAGGAAACATAAGAATTTTAGACAACAAGACAGACACCTCTCAAATATTAAATGCAACCAGGAAACTGAAAACAATATTCTATTAGAGCCTCTTCAAGGAAGACAGGGCTCTAATAAAAACAAAGGGGGAGAGAAAGCTAGATTTACCATGAGACTATTTGGAATCTAAGGCTCATCATTTAGCTCCACAATGCAAACTTTGTGAAATTTAGTAGTCTCAGTGTAAAAAAATATGTATTTAATATAGGCCAACAAGATGGCTTAGTAGGGAAAGGCACTTTGCTGCCAAGCCTGATGACTTTAGTTTGATCTCTGGGACCCATGTGGTACAAGAGAATTGACTCTCACATTTTTCCTTTCACTTTCACAAGTGCATGGTGGTACACACATGCCCACAGACATACATATACAACTAAGTAAAAGTAATAAAACATTTAAAAGAAGTATTTACTGATTTCTAAGTTCTTTTCACCTTTAAAAATTCATATTTGGAAAAAATGCATTGAAGTAAAATTTAAAGAACTTACTTTTAAACTCCTGTTTCCTAAACTAATTGACCACATTCAATTTTCTTCATCTATAAAAATGTTTTAAGCAAGATACTCAACACTTCCTAGCCCCCACCTCTTCAAGAAGGTATTCTGGAAGACAACTCATCAAGGTCCTTTACGCTACACACAGGGTATACACCTGTAACCTCTGCTACTTAGGAAGCAGAGGCAGGAAAACCTCTTGAGCCCAAGTTCAGGACCAGCCTGGGTAACACAGAACATGCACATACATCATTTGACTCGCTAGCGCCACCTGACTATCATGGTGTAAAAGGAGTTTACAAACAAAAGATGGCTCACAGGCGACACCTGCTGCTGAAACTGGGATTTAGAACATGTATGAGCCATAGTAAGAGACAAAAAAATTAAAAAAGCAAATATTACAGAAAACTGAACAGAAAAATGTCATTTTAATTCTCAAATTCACAATGTTTTTTTTTTTCAGACACATAGAAGCAACCTTACTGGCATTCCTCTGAACTTCAATATATTCAGGTATTTAAACTTTTATGTAAAAAATAGAATACAAACAGAATCTGAAGCTAAAAATTATTACCTGAATAAAATGAAGCCAAGCGATTCTACTGCTGCTCTCCTGACATCATCATTAACATCACTTACCTAGGGGGAAAATTTAAGATGATTGTAACACACATTATAATACACACTCCATTAATACACTGAGATAAACATCATCACTCAAATGTAAATTAGGCCTTAATAATATTTTTGGTAAGTTTTTTTTTTTACTAAGTATATAAATCAAATATATACAGTATACCTCAAATATATACAGTAAATAAATTTAAAAAATAATAACACATGTAGTTTTTTGTTGTTGTTGTTGTTTTTTGAGATAGGGTTTCGCTGTAGTTTTAGAGCCTGTCCTGGAACTAGCTCATGTTGTTTTTAAAAGTCTTTCCTAGTTCACCTTTAATCCCAGCATGAGGAAAGCAGAGAAAGGTATATCTCTGTGAGTTTGAGATCAAAATGATCTTCATATGATGTTCAAGGCTAACCAGTATCTCTCAAAAAATAAAATAAAAAACCCTCTTT